TTTCCTTCACTATGTCTAGAAGTCTCTGTGGGTGTTTTCCATAGAGAAACTCAAATGGAGAGTACCCTGTAGAGGACTGAGGAACAGGACTGATTGTAAACAGCAAGCAAGGAAGCAAAAAGTCCCAGTTTTTCCCTTGTCGACAACCTTTTTCAATATACTTTTTAACATTTTAATAAATCATTCCACCAACGTGGTGGTACACAGAGGTTCGCAAATGTTTCACCTTAAACGATTTGCACAACTCTTTAGTTACTCTTTAGTTACTCGTGGCATGAATGGGGTACCCTGGTCTGCAAGGACCTCATTAGGGACCCTATCATGTCTGAACACCATGAAGTCCTTGGCAATGTTCTTAGCAGAAGTGTTGCATAAAGGAACTGCCTCGGGGTAACAGATAGCATAAACCATAATCACAAGTATATGCTGATGGCCCCAGGCTGACTGATGGCCCCAGGCACTTACAAGGTCCATGGCAATCCTCTCAATCCTCACTTTAATAATTGGCAAGGGCACTAGAGGACTCCAAAAGTGGGGCAAGGGTGCCACCATTTGACATGATGGACAGGATTGGCAATAATTCTCAATGCCTTTTTACGTGTGTAAAATTCCCTCTGATTCATTCTGCTACACCATCTGCTATAAAAAATTTGGGATCAATCATATGAAATTACTAAACTGACATAGGGTCACAACCAATGGGATGGGGCCACCACATGTCACACAAATCAATTCACACCTAAAGCTGAACTCTAAGCAGATATAAAATGACATAAACTAATTCAACTTTGTAATCATTAATACATCAATAAATGCATTTTTTTAATGCAAACAGTGTGGGTACCTGATGACCTGTTGTCAGTCTTTTGCAGTCCTAGTACAGCAGAACTGAAGTGTTAGACTAAGAAGCAGCACAAGGAACCAATCAGTTCATATGCTGACAAAACTCAAGTTGATAGGAGGAGAAAGCAGAGTGACAGAGAGATTAGCTTATCACTGGTCTGCTTCTTCTTTCACTGTCCAGTCACAGGCCGGGGTGGGCCCAGGAAGACCTGGGCTGAGAGGAAGTGGGTTGAATGATGTTGGATGTCAGACTGAGGACATCTAGTGGCAGGGAAAAGCACTGCGGAGAAATCTCTAGATTGAAGGTGATATGTGTAGCAAAAGCTGAATTTATTATTCTATATTTTGATGTTTCCTTCATTTTTTGCTTGTTATTTTTGGCAGGAGTTCTGCTGTAGATGAGCCCCTTTATGTTCTGTGTGCAGCAGACACCTGGCAACTAACCAAAAAAAATTAAACTGTTGCTTTCCTATAAATCTAATGCATAAAAATGCATTAACGCTAATAAGGATTTAGCTTTGCCAAGATTATAACAAAAAATATAACCTCATACTTTTTTTTTTTTTTTTATACTAACCTGTAATTTTTCCATGAATAGAATGAAGAGACAGTTAATAATAATATGTAAATCACTGGCTTAGTCATTCAGATTAACACATCTTGTGTCAAGTTAAAATTCTCCTACCATCAACTCAAAAGGATCAGTGAAAACAAGGGCTATAGTGAATTCAGCACACGTTGCAGCCCTTCTTCAATAAAATAAACACTTCAGCTCCCGTTTACACTAAGGCTCAGTTCACACTAGCTTTGTAGCAGGCATCAGACAGGTGTTTGGGAAGCGTTTTTAACGCTTCTCAAACGCCTATGAAAATTCTACACATGGCAGCACACAGTGCTGTTCACACTGAAGCGTTAGAGTCACGTCTCAGCAAAACTGACACCTGTCCAGTCAGGAGAAGTGGAAGCCTCCCATTCAAGTATATGGTGCAGCTCCTCAAATACCTGGTAGGCGTTTGTGGAGCGTTAATACCATTTAACTTCATTATAGGTGTTTGTGGTGCAGTTTTAACGCTTGGTAAATGCCTATCAACCACCACAAAACTGTGCATAGGGCGTTTGGGGAGCATTTTAGGAGCGTTAAAAACGCCTGTCTAAGGCATGTCAAACACTAGAGGGGCATTTGGCAAGAGTTAGAAATAAAGTGAAGTGTGAACGAGCCCTTAGGGGTCTATTTATAAAACATTTGCTGAAAAAAATGTCACTGTATGTTTTCTAATAGATTAATTCCTTTATCATCATCTCCATCTAGCGGCCAAAACATGGTATGTTTTCTCACTGAAATATTTTAGAAAACTATACTGAATTTTGGCCACTCGATAAACCTAATGATACAGGAATTATCCACTTACCCTCCAGAGGATTCTACCCCTTCCTGACCAGGCCATTTTTTTGTGATACGGCGCTGTATTACTTTAACTGACAATTGCACGGTCATGCAACCTTGTACATAAATTACATTTATTTCCTTTTGTCCCCACAAATAGAGATTTATTTCGGTGGTATATGATCATCTGTATGCATATATGTTTTTGCGCTATAAACAAAAAAAGACTGACAATTTTGAAAAAAAAAACCCAAAACAATATTTTTGACTTTTTGCTATAAAACATATCTGGTAAAAAAAAAGAAAAAAATCAAATTTCGTCATAAATGTAGGCCTAAATGTATTCTGCTCCATGTCTTTGCTAAAAAAAAAAATCCCAATACGTGTAAATTAATTGGTTTACATGAAAGTTATAGCGTCTACAAATGGTGGTATATATAATGGAATTTTTATTTTTATTTTTTTTATCCTAGTAATGGCAGTGGTCAGTGACTTAGTCCTCATGCACACTTGACGTTTTTACAGCGGCTGTTTTTGGCTTTTGATTTTTTTTAGTAAAGAAACTAAACAGCTAGTAAACCTCCCAGCATGTTATCCTATGTGTCCATGCAGACTGTAATCAACGTTTTTTGGCTGGAAAAAAACCCCAGGACTAGTGGGTTTCTAGAGGAGTTTTATATCTGTAAAAACGGTCTAATGCTGAAAAATGTGGTAAAACGTTGCAAACCAGTGTTTTTGGACTTTTTTTTTTTGCCAAAAAAATACTTTTTTTTTTTGGTAAAAAAAATGCTAAAAAATGCAAACGTGGAAAAACACTGCTAAACGCCAATGCAAAAGTGCTAAAAAAAGCTGAAAAACTCACATTTTTAACGTGACTTTACACAGCTAACGTTACCAGCGTTAAATGTCCAGTGTGCATGAGGACTTATAGCGGGACTATGGCGGGCATTCTGACCCTGGAGGGTGGGGGGAACTAACTGCCACTGACACCCCCAGTGACACTAATACAGTGATCAGTGCTAATGAAAAGCACTGACACTGTACTAACGCCACTGGGCAGGAAGGGGTTAGCATATGGGGCAATCAAAGGGTTAACTGTGTGCTGTTTTACATGATGTGCTGTGTGTGTTTTACTAGGGAAACATGCTGCTGTGTATTTCTCTGCTGGCAGGAGAGAGACCTGTGTTGTTTACAGTGTTGTCAGTGTTACGGCGGGCGGGGAATCTCTGGCCGGGACCCGGTGATTGACATCCGTAGCCACCAATGGCGGCGTGGGTAGGGCAGTGCGCGCCGCCTTCCCAGAAATGCAAATCACGTGTATATATATATATATATATATATATATATATATATATACATATATGTGTGATTTTGCGCAGCCTTGCCTCCCTGTAGCAGTAATTCTACTATAGGGCGACGGACAAGCGGTTAAGCATACATATGGTGACATTTTATTTAGCTTGCATGAATGTTTCTAACGTTTGAGCAGTGGATGTTTTATGAATAGACTCCTTAGCTTGAGCATAGCCAAGTGATTTAGAGGAGTTTTTTGTGTGCATTTTAATGCTCAGCTTGTAGTACAGTAGGGAGCTATTTGCCCCAGGGGCGGATTGACCATTCGAGCACTCGGGCACTGCCTGAGGGCCTGGGGTCAGTAAGGCGCCCCATAAAATGCCCCTGGTACCTTTTATAGGCTTTTTTTGATGTGTGTTGAGTATGGGCAAGGACACAGGGGCCCCATGATCCCCTATTGCTCGGGAGTCCCATGAGTTGTCAGTCCGCCCCTGCCCAGGAGTCCAATGTTAAGGCATGGCCTCAGCAGCCGTACTGGCCACGCCCTCTGATGTATTGTACCCTGCCCATCGGGGGCTTGGCCACACCTCTGTGACCAAGCCCCCCCGTCGAGTGGGGCGAAATGCATCAGTCGGCGTGGCCAGTACGGCGGCTGAGGCCATGCCTTAACATTGGACTCCTAGGGGTTTATTTACTAAAGCTGGAGAGTCCAAAATCAGACTCCCTTCTGCATAGAAACCAATCAGCTTCCAGGTTTCATTGCCAAAGCTTCATTGAACAAGCTGAGGTTAGAAGCTGATTGGTTTCTATGCAGAAGGGAGTCTGATTTTGGACTCTCCAGCTTTAGTAAATAAACCCCCTAGGGTCAGCTGAGCAGCATCCATCCTGTCACTTGTATTCAAAGTAATTGACACAAATACTCCTGCACTTGGGGGTGAACTCCATTCAGTTATGGATCCATTGTGGAAATCCTGGATGGCGCACGTCTTGCTGCCCTCAAAGGACTGGGTGAGTCCAAACACTGGATATGAAGAAAACAAAGAGAGGGCGCACCGGCCTAGTGCATTACCTTAAATAACATTTATTAATAAAAAATGATAGGTGATATACTCACAAAGGATAAATATAAATGAGCTCATCATAAAGAACAGCAATGTCCAGTCTACATGGTGTGGCCATCTACATAGGAAACACTGGACCTCCAACAGGCTGACGTGTTTTGAGGACCTTACTCTTCCTCAGAGCCAGTATACACAACGCCGTTTTGTATTCACTTCGCTGCTGGCGTGGATGGATCTGTTTTTCTTCTTTGAGTATATTACTCTGCATGGGCATTAATATGAGCCATCAGCTGCTGATTTCCACTTTGTGTCACTGACTGGCCACTGAAGGGTTAAATCCTCTCCTCTCCTTCACTTGTATTGGCTGACACTGGAATTGCTCGGACTCATGCTCCCTTGGTCAAGCTTTCTATCCATAGCTTGGAGCGGCACCATAAGATATACTTTTCACTATGTACCATAGACAGGGGCGGACTGACTATTTGGAAACTCGGGCACTGCCCGAGGGCCCGGGGTCAGTAGGGGGCCCCATGAGATGCCCCTGGTACCTTTTTCATAGGCTTTTTTGAGTTTGGGCAAGGACACAGGGGCCCCATGATCCCCTATTGCCCGGGGGCCCCATGAGTTGTCAGTCCGCCCCTGACCATAGATGAGCGAAAAAGAGTGTTTTCATCTTCCTGAAACTTCCACAAAACTCAGGAGATTTTAGTGAAATATATTGGAATCAATGAGGAACGAAAATGAAAACAGTAATAAACCCAAAATGAAATATATTGCAGCCTACCAATCATCAGGTGTGGTGGCTGCATTAGTTTTCTGTTTTTAGGCATGTATTCATCTGGTGATCTGGCCAGTAACACACCTCCTGTATTAGAGTGCCTACACTCTGGATGAAGGAGCACAGGGGGCACTTATGGACAGCAGCATTGCCAGTCTGGAGGGAGGGGAGTATTGGATGTACTGCCAGATTTAAATACAAATTGAAGCCAAACTCCAGCTAACACTTTATAAGCCCTTACAGTAACTGTTTATTTTCCTTTTGGGATAAAGGTTTCACATAAATAAAGGCTGATCACTGTTAGCACCCCTGTCAGTGGTAAATGGTTTGTCTCATCTCTGTAAACCAATACATCTGCAGGAGAACTTGTTCTTTTGAAAAACAACAGACCTATTAGCAGGTGAAAATGAAAGAAAGAAAGCTTAAGAAAAAGCCTTATGCAGCCATCACATCTAAGAATTGGTCAGCTGCAATATGATAAATGTTTGTTTTCAGGCTTAATACTGCTTTAACCACTTGTCCTCCTGAGGATTTACCCCCCTTCCTGACCAGGCCATTTTTTGCGCTACAGCACTGCGTTACTTTAACTGACAACTGAGCGGTCATGCAACGCTGCATCCCAAATTAAATTTACGTCCTTTTTTCCCACGAATTGAGCTTTCTTTTGGTGGTATTTGATTGCCCGTGCATTTTTATTTTTTTCGCTATAAAAAATAAAGACCGAAAACCGACAATTTTAAGTTAAAAAAAACAATATTTGCCATATAATCAAATTTTGCCATAAATTTAGGCCAAAATGTATTCTGCAACATGTCTTTGCTAAAAAAAAATCCCAATACGTGTAAATTATTTGGTTTACATGAAAGTTATATCGTTTACAAATGGCAGTATATATACTGGGATTTTTTTTTTAATTACTATTAATGGCGGCGATCAGCGACTTGTAGTGGGACTGCGGGACTACAGTGGGCATTCTGACACTGGGGGGAACTGACTTGGTGTCACTGACATCCCCAGTGACACCAATACAGTGATCAGTGTTAATAAAAAGCTCTGACACTGTACTAATGGCACTGGGCAGGAAGGGGTTAACATGTGGGGCGATCAAAGGGTTAACTGTGCTGTTTTACTCTGTGCTGTGTGTTTGTGCTTTCATTGTAAGCACACTGCTTTGCATGGCTGTGCTGTGCACAGTCATACAAAGAAGTGTGCACGAGCTGACAGGGAGGAGAAATGTTTTGTTTACAAAGAGTTCCCCCTCCCATTCGAAGATGCTGAGCAATCACCGGGCGCTGGCGAGTAATCGCCAGGGGATTGACAGCCACGGCCATGAATGGTGGTGCAGGTAGAGTGTGTGCGTACATTGCGTGCCCCCCACCCGGAAATGCGAAATCACGTATATATATGTGATTTTGCGCACCAGAGCCGCCCTGTAGCAGTACTTCTGCTATAGGGTGGATGGGAAATGGTTAAAGGATAAGTTCACCTTTCATAAAATGTTACACCCATATTCAGGGTATAACATGTAATATGTTATCAATAGACCAGCGCCTGCTCCCCCACTTTGACAGCTAGCCAGGGATCCTCTCCTCTGAGGAAGAGGCAAGTCCTCGAAACGCGTCAGCCTATTGGATGTCTACACTCCCTATTGCGGACTGTTACTCAGCGCGGTGTTGACCCAACTGTTCTTTATGATGTGCCTTGACTATATTGTTGTTTGTGAGTACAACACCTACTTTATTTTTTATTAAAATTTTTTATGGTAATGCACTAGGCAGTAGGGGACCCCATAAAAAATAAAATATATAGTGTTGCGCTCCCAAACCTCAAATCAATATATTGTTATTTAAATTTGATCTCTATTATAAGGATCACAGTAATTAAGAATGATGTGTGTAAGTAAACATAAATACTAATACACTTATAATTTAAATTAGTACAAATAAATAATGTGCATAACAAAATAAAAAATAAAAACTATAAAATAAAAATAAAAATAAAAAATATTCTAAAAAATAAAAATAAATATAAAGAAAATGTCCCAAAAAGTGACTTTGTGCTGGAAAATCTTCAATCTACAAAGATTATAAATCGGTGACTGCTTGTGAATCCTCCCTCAAGTGAAGATGTGCGCTCACCTCATAAGAAGCCTGCAATTAGGCTATATAAGCTTGTGGTTCACCTCCTTTGGAACCTGCTTGTTTAGAACTCCTGCTTTAAGATATCCATGGTATGCGACATATGCTATAGGATGAATCTCCTCTCCAGAGGGTGCAATTCCTCTATATTTTCATCTCCATGCGATTCTCCACATACAAAAAAGATCTCGACATGGTGCTTTATCTTTTATATAAGTATGACTTTAATTTGCTTGGGATATGGCACTCACATATAAAGTGTGCGGATAGTGGTAGCACAAATACAATCCCAAACCGCCGCTGATTGTCGGAGCTGTGTACTCGTGGTCCGGCAAACTGACTCCCTCCGAGTGACGTTACAGTCCCACCCCTACGCGTTACGCCACTGGTCACGTGGCTTCATCAAATCCCCCTGATGAAGCCACGTGACCAGTGGCGTAACGCGTAGGGGTGGGACTGTAACGTCACTCGGAGGGAGTCAGTTTGCCGGACCACGAGTACACAGCTCCGACAATCAGCGGCGGTTTGGGATTGTATTTGTGCTACCACTATCCGCACACTTTATATGTGAGTGCCATATCCCAAGCAAATTAAAGTCATACTTATATAAAAGATAAAGCACCATGTTGAGATCTTTTTTGTATGTGGAGAATCGCATGGAGATGAAAATATAGAGGAATTGCACCCTCTGGAGAGGAGTTTCATCCTATAGCATATGTCGCATACCATGGATATCTTAAAGCAGGAGTTCTAAACAAGCAGGTTCCAAAGGAGGTGAACCACAAGCTTATATAGCCTAATTGCAGGCTTCTTATGAGGTGAGCGCACATCTTCACTTGAGGGAGGATTCACAAGCAGTCACCGATTTATAATCTTTGTAGATTGAAGATTTTCCAGCACAAAGTCACTTTTTGGGACATTTTCTTTATATTTATTTTTATTTTTTAGAATATTTTTTATTTTTATTTTTATTTTATAGTTTTTATTTTTTATTTGTTATGCACATTATTTATTTGTACTAATTTAAATTATAAGTGTATTAGTATTTATGTTTACTTACACACATCATTCTTAATTACTGTGATCCTTATAATAGAGATCAAATTTAAATAACAATATATTGATTTGAGGTTTGGGAGCGCAACACTATATATTTTATTTTTGCGGTTTATCACATTGGTAGTTATGTGCTAGAGGTTTGCGATCCAATATTAGAGTGTATTAATAAGGAGTTTTTGTCTACTTTCTGGCTCGCAAGATATTTTAAATATTTTACACTTACTAGTAGGGGACCCCATGATATGCCCCTGGTACCTTTTTAATAGGCTTTTTTGAGTGTGGGCAAGGACACAGGGGCCCCATGATCCCCTATTGCCCGGGGCCCCATGAGATGTCAGTCCGCCCCTGACTACAACCAATAAACCAGGAGTCACCTGTACTGTGAAAAAAGGGTTATGCGTGTCCCTTCAGGGAAAGGTTCACCTTTAAAAAAAAGAAACAGATGCATGCATTTTTGCAGGAACAAAAATGTACATTTAGATTTTTTTTTTTTTTGCACAGGCACCTGTAAAGCTTTATACTGGCAATCAGTGAATCGTAGGTGCAGGGCCAGGTTCCTGCGGACTCTTCCTCCAGCTCTGCAGCTGAAAGCCTGTACCTCGATACAGGTAGGAGGCAGGAGGAAGTGTTCATGACCATAGCATGTGTATAGTCTCCTCCAGCTCCCTGAATGCTATGCTTTAAGTTGGCAGTTGGGGGGTGGTCAAACTGTGGATCAACCTCCTGTTTTTACTGGCCAGTGGCCAACCGTGTGAAAGAAGCCTAAGATTAGGTTCACAGTAATGCGGTGCGGGAAACGCTGCAAATCCTGTGTGTTTCCGGCACCGCATTGCAATCGCATGGCGTTCATGTGATCTGGTGCAGATGTCAATGTTAAATTATTGACACCCTGAAACAGATTGCAAAACGCAATGCGATTGCCAGAAATCCCATTGCATGGCTGAGAACACCAACAATGCGATTCAGGTGCAGGTAATAAAAAAAGGGTCTTGCATCTTTTTGGTGCAGATGCAATGCGATTTGAGCCATACAGAATGCACTGCTCAAATGCACCACACAGACACTGCATGTAATTCGCACATGAATGCGGTGTGATTCCTGTGTGAATTACATGCGGTGTCCCGCACTGCATTAGTGGGTACCCAGTCTAAAGGTGCAGAGTCGGCCCTGACATACAGACGCAGCTGAAGTCCTCCAGGGTGGGAGGTATCCAGGTCTACATCTGTTTGAAGCGAGGCACATATTTCCAGCCAGTCAGCAAATGAATACCACACTGTGTATGAATGTCACAAGAAGGGGTAACATGAATATTATGGGCTGCTGGTGACAGTCACAGCCACAGTAAGCAACGTTCCTCATTCTTAGGGCTTGTTCACATGTACTTTGATCCTCTGAAGAGCGATCTGCATTCGGATCCCTCTTCAGTCATGCTTAGCTTGTTCAAATGTACTTTGGTCCTCATCTGCTTCGGATCCCTCTTGTTCATGTTCCTCATGTACTTTTGTCCTCTGAAGAACGATCTACATTTGGATCCCTCTTCAGTAAGCAGTGTTCCTCGTTCTTAGATTGTAAGCTCCAAGGAGCAGGGCCCTCCTAACCCTCTTGTATTGAACTGTATTGTTGCTGTATTGTCCCCGTTATATTGTAAAGCGCTGAGCAAACTGTTGGCGCTATATAAAT